GAATGAAAAAAATTCTAAAAATATCAAAAGTTTATAGAATAAGGATATAAAGAAAATATATACAGCTGTATACTGTGTTTGTGTTTTAAGACAGGTGTTATTCCAAGAGTCAAAAATTTAAAAAAAGCATGTTATATGGTAAATAGTTACAGTAAACTAAGGCTAATTCATTATTGAAAAAAAAAAGTTTTAATATATAGTGTAGCCTACATGTAGAGTGTTTATAAAGTCTGCAGTTGTGTACAGAATATCCTAGGCCTTCACATTCACTCCCCACTCACTTGCTGACTCACTGAGAGCAATTTATATTCCTCAAAGTTTTTCATGGTAAGTGCTCTATCCTGGTGTACATTTTTATATTGTTTTTGTTGCATTTTTTTAATGTTTAGAAATGCTTAGATACATGAATACTTATCATTGGGTTACAATTACCTGAAGTATCTAGTACTGTAACATGCTATATAGGTTTGGTGTCTAAGAGCAAAAGGCTGTATTGTTCAGCCTCTGTATGTAATAGTCCATATCATCTATGTTTGTACAAGTACACTCTATGAAGTTCAAACAATTATAAAATCACTTAATGACACATTTCTTAGAAAGTGTCCCTATTGTTAAGTGACACATAACAGCATTTTTGTCATATCATGTGCTATGTTTTGGATGTTCTTCTTGTCCACGTTAAAAGTTAAGTTGAACTTTGATTGCCAACACAGTGGTGTTGGGAGGTAGGGCTTGCTACAGTTTGGATGTTAAATGTTCTCCAAAGGTTCATGTGTTTAAAGGCTTGATCCACTTGATTCAAATAGTGCTTGGTGGCACTATTTGAAGGTGGTGGAACCTTTAGGATGTGGGACACAGTAGGAGGGTCTTAGGTCTTGAGGATATGCTCTTTTCCTCTTTTTCTGCTTGTGGGTTATGTAATCACTGGCTTGCTCTTCATATGCACTCCTGCAATAATGTGCCACCCTCACCAGGGGCCCCTATGGGGCTACCTGATCTTGGACTTGAATACAGAACAAGGAAGGAAAATAAACCTGTCTTTATTTCTTAAGTAGCCTGTGTCAGGTGTTTTGTTATAGTGATTGAAAGCTGACTAACACAAGAATTTAAGGAGGTTTTAATGCTTCTCTCCAGACTCAGTTCTTGTTCTCAGGGGACTGGATTGGTAGCTTCAGGATGGGTGATTATAGAGCAAGTCTGGTTTTTTCCTCTTGGGTTTTTGAACATACTGCCTTTCTTCCTCACATGCTCACTTCTGCTCTTGCTGCCTCTCTCACCATGTGCTGTGCTTTTGCCACAATAGATGCTGAGCAGATGCCAGCCGGCATCATGCTCTTGGGCTTCCAGAACTGTGAGCTAAATGAATTTTTCTCTATAAATTGCTTACACTTGGATATTTTGCTGTAATGACAGAAAGTGAACTGAGATACCATGAATGTAGTATCTCTTATTAGAGAAAACTAAAGCAATAAACTCATGAGGGATAAGAATAGAAAAAGAGCATGGATTTTAGACATGTTTATGTGTTTAGTGCTGTGTTGACTTTATCATAAAATAATTAAGTTAAATCAAAGTAGTTGAAAATGTATATAATCTTAAGGCCAGCAGGTTGTTAATTGTGCTTGCTAATAATATAATTTTGAATATAGTATTTTACAATATTTTAGTAATTATAATTGTAAATATCAAAACTATCAGTGAAGAAATATGTCAGGGTTTACAACTACAAACACTTTTTAATGATAAACAACAACAACAACAAAAACTACAGAACATAAGTGCTAAAAATATGGTGGTTTTAAGTTAATTTTGATGAAGCAGCACATCAGTAGTAGATGTTGAAAAGAATGTTAAGAACCATCAGGGTTTTGAAAAGCATTTTTACTCCAGGAAACTGCTGTGTGCTGCTTTGATGTCTATGACAGTGATACATATATATCCAGATCTATACAGACATTTATATTGTACAACTCCATTCATTGTTAGATACTGTATAAGAAATGTCCTAAAGATTATCATTGGAATTATCTTTCTTTAGGAAGGGTAAAGTTAAAACCACACTGGCTATATTTAGGTTCTGATAGGATAATTTGGTTTAGAATGTACCCCTTTTAGTAAAAAAAGTTTAAATTACTTTGCAATTATTAGAACATTCCAACAATATTTAGTTTAGTACTACTAAACTTGTATTTAAAGCAAACACATTTAAATAACCACACACAGCCCCTGTGTAAACGTTTTGTTAGAATGAAGGCCCCACTTCTCATGTACTAACCTTGGAAAGTTGGAGCTATAAGGAGCAGGGCCTACCTATTGCTTATAATAGAAGCACAGTAAATGACCTTTAAAAGATAAAGCCTAAGAACTTTGATTGGGCAAAGGGGAGGTGGAATGGGGAGAGGGCATGGGAGCAGGAAAGATGATGGAATGAGATGAACATCATTACCCTAGGTATGTGTATGACTGCACATATAGTGTAATGTTACATCGTGTACAACCAGGCAAATGAAAAGTTGTGCTGCAATTATGCACAATGAATCAAAATGCATTCTGCTGTCGTATACACCTAATTAAAATTAATAAATAAATAAAATTAAAAAAGACAAAGCCTAGGGCATAGGCTGGGACAGTGGCTATTAATATATTGCATTCTAGTATAATGGTATTTTAAGAATAAGCTCTGTACCAACACTCATAAATAAGAGCCTGTGTTGGAGGCCCAAACTAGAATCTAAGTACACTATTATTATAACTGGTGTCATGGGATCTGGAGAGAATTGTATCCTACACTAGGGTTACATATTTGGGGAAAAAAATGATCGTCATTGATTTCTTGCCAATCACTTTCCCCTAACCTGAACTTTTAATTATGAACCCCCCTCCCTCCTTTTATTCCCTGTGTGGTCATACCATTGAGTTATAGAAGAGCTGCCCAAACAGGCTTATATGTAAGCCCTGCATCAGGTTAAAATTTAAGCTGAGAATATATTTTAGAGCATTCAAGCCATGTTATTTTGAAATTTTCTGGAAGTATGCATGGATCAATATATATTTCAAAGCATCTAAGTCTTGAGTTAATCTTGGATGGCTTAGCTGGTATGCTGCTGCTCTTAATTTAATATCCTTTGAACCAGGGACTTCTTTAATTGCATACAAGGGGACATCTGTAAACCTCCACTTCTACAGTCTACTTACTGGGAAACATTGGTTAGCACTGTGTAGAGTGACCTATACTCTAATCTGGATTGCTAAGAATACACCTCCAATTTAAAAAAAAAAAAAAATTGGTCAGATGGTTGGTCTGAGCAATTTACAAAAATGTGAAAAATTTTGGGGTGGGTGACAGATTTATTTGTATAAGAAACCAAACATGACAGATGGACTATTTTTAGCTATTTGGTGTGTGTGGGAGTACCAATATAGATGCACTTTCAGAGGACAAAGGCTCAATCCCAACTTTTTTATTAGTGCCCCTATTGCCTACATGTAAACGAGATGGTTTTAGAAGTAATTTAGTTTCCCTCTCTTGTAGATATAACCTGGTATCTGAATTTTAAAGTTTCTCTTTTAATTTTTTTTTAAACTTCATTTGTAGATGAGTTCAGAGTTAAGACATTCTAGTTATTACATTATTGGTTGCATGCCGATTTATTTTCCTTATTTTGGTTCATGAAAAGGCATACCCAATTTCCCTCACTAATTTACAAAAGAACTCTGTTCCTGTTATTTGCTGATGCATGTCATTACCTCACTGTGAATATTTGGTGTTGAAAGTCATAAAGATGGTCAAGATTTTCTCAAGTTCAATGCAGATTCCTAATCAGGATAGAAACCCTCAGATGTCCTGTCATTTAGCTTATCAGAATTGCTTAGTTTCTTATTTTCACTTGTAGCAGGCAATTGGGGATGTCCTTTGGCCGATCAATTCTCCCAAGGACATTGCTGATTTTGTATTTATGGAGAATGTAGGTGGGGGAGATTTAATTCTGTCCTGAAAGAGATTGGTGAGCTGGCCTGATGGGAATCCTGCTGAGCAATAGGCTATCAAGTTGTCTCAATCTATTCAGACTGTTAAGCTATTATTAACAACCTATCAGGAACTGGGTGACTTATAAACAACAGAAATTTATTTCTTATACATCTGGAGGCTAAGAAGTACATAGACAAATCAACATCTGGTGAGGGCCCCCTTGTTTGTTCATAGATGGCTCTGTTTTCACTCTTAACTGTACATGAAAGTGAATTTTCTCTGGGACTCTTATTTAAAGGCATGAATCCCATTCATGAAAGCTCCCGTCCTCATGACATAATAGCCTCTTAAAAATCCCGTTTCCTAATACTATCATCTTGAGGGCTAAATCTCAGGGTTATGAATTTGGTAGGGTCAGAAGGACACAAACATTTAGATCACAGCACAAGTGTTCTTGTTAAAATTGCAAGAGAATCCCGCAAATTCACAGAAATCTAAGTAATGGACTGATGTGACTTCATCCAACCCAAGTTTTGGGAATTTTAATAGTTTTTGCAAGATCCTTTTCTTGGCCTATGTGCTTAAAAATCTCCCAAATCTAGTCTTCAGGTTATTCTCCATGCTCAAAGTTTTTAGAAGTAGAATTTTCCTTCCCCTCACCTTTTGTTCCTATAATACTCAACTTTCATTTCTACCTTTTATGCCTCATGTGTATGCCTTATTTCTTCTTGACTGCATCAAAGGCAGAAAAATCCTCCATTAAAATCAAACTGCAAGATTCTGTAATAGAAAATTTAGTTAAAGCACATCAGGACAGCAATGATCAAAATTCAAGATGCCTGATATCTACTGTGTATAAAAGAGAAAATACTTCCCTTCCATTTTAGGGAAAATGTTCTTTTCTCTTTGCTTTTGTCCCTTTTTTCCAATGATAAAGGGCAGCAGAAAGTATAAAATGCTTAAATTCACATATTAAATTGTTTAATATTTATATTCTAATACAAAAGGCTCTTACTATTACATTAGAAAAAGAAAAAATTCACTCTTCATCAGGTCATATTTCTGTTTGGCAATTTGGAAGAGAAGATTATTTGGAATCACCTAAACACTGAAAAAAAAGAAAATGGAACCCCTTATGAAATATACTTCTAGGGACATCTAGAGACTTAATTCCCATGACCTTGGGAACTGAATCTAAATCCTGTTCCCTTATCTGAGAAGTAGTGATAAAAATGCTTTCCTCATATGATATATGTGAGAATTATGGAGCTAATATATTTAAATAAGTTCATAATTCCTAATATTAAAAACTCAATAAAATTAAAAATGTTCATGGTGATGATTTGCTCGTTAGGTCAAATAATCACACACTTTTACCTTGAATTAAAAAAATAAAAAAAAACTTTTCTACCCTTTCATTTATGTTATCGTGTTGACTAATTCTCTGTTAAAGCATATTAAAGTATGACAGTTACCATTCCTCAGTAATTTTAAAAATTGGTCATACTTCCTGAACAAGTTTTTTTTTCTTTATGTGTAATAATCACACCACCTCTCTGCTTCTTCATGCTTGAGGGGATCTCTAGACAAACCAACATTCATGATGATCTGAAAAATTCAATTTATGGGTAATAAAGTGGAACACTTTGATATTAGAGGCAAACATAACTTTGTTTCCTTTACCGACTATTGACTGTACTGAATAACCAACTAAATTGGCATTCGTTTACCTATTCAGCAATATTTGTTCTTTGCTTTGCATCAGACAATAATGTTCTAGGCTTGATGATAGAGCAGGAAACAAATCCATGGCCTCCTGGATGTTCCTGTAAGTGTGCCAAGAGGAATAAAATTAATTGTGAATTAGAACAATAAGAGATTTAGTCATGGCATAAATTTCATTTTCTCCCTGGGAAACTTCACCAAATTGCGTCATGTAAGAGGAAAAATACATATCAAGGTTTGGAAGCATTTATGAAGATGAAAGGGCAAATCACCAAGCTGACATTTAGATCCTACTATAAATTTGCTGATACTACAGGATGTAAGATTGGATAGGATACAGAAGCTTCCTTCTCACAGCTTCCAATCTAGTGGGAGGAAGAGATAAATATTTTAACTGCTATAAAGGCCTTAGTTTCTTTAATGTAATAAAAGATATGATAATAAAAAGCTGATGGAAACATGTTCATACAGTTACCAAAATGAAGTACTCCACTGTGTCACAATTTTAGTGCTAATGGCAAACAGATTTTTAAAATGTTACAAACTGGGACATTAGTGCTTCTGGAATATAATACCTACTATTCTAAGTGCTTCAGTATTACAATTACATTGACTGAACTACCTTATAATATTTTAGACTAAAATGTTTTGGCTCTTTACTCTTAGTCATCCAAGAAATCTGTGTTCTTGGAATATATGAAACAAAAACAAAACCAGATAATTAACTTACTATTAGGAAAATGTGGGAAGCCTATAAAAACAGCATTGATATTAACAGATCTTAGATGGATTAGAAATTGTAAGCCCCAATCTGTTCAGGGGAATTTGGGAAAAAATAATGGAAAAAGTATTACCTAAACTTGTCCTTAAAACAGGAAGAACATCTATGGGCAAAAAAGCAGATAGAAGAGGAAGATATACTTGATAAGTTTGGCTGCAGGAAAGGAATAGAGTAGGAAGAGCCCAAAGCCAGGTAAGGTGAGGCAGGGGCAGGACTCCTCTTATTTTAAGACTATTGTTTGACAGACACAACCAGAATATAGAACAGTGCCAGCGTTTAAATCTTTACTCAGGCAAACATGGCCCCCTTGTGTGCAAATATCTCAGCTAGGATCATTCTAGAGCATCTTTTCCATCCTGCTATGATCACCACCCTACTTGTCACCTTCTTTAGAACTTAAAACTTCTTTTGGAAAAGCATCTTTCTATATGTCCTTTTACATCTTATTCACTTTCTAACGTGGTATTATTATAAGAAATATTGTTTATTATGGCTATATGAAGAACTAGGGCAGGTTTACTTCTAGTTCTTAGACTAACTTTCAAGGTGGGGGTATTACCCTCATTTACAGATGAGGAAATAGGTTTAGGAAGATTAATGGATCTATCTCTCACCACAAAACTACAGAATATGAATATTTGAAGAAGTTTGCCTGATTGAGCAGCTCAGTCCCATTCTACTCTTGTGACTTTTAACCAGTGGTATATATTTAAATTGCCTAGGGAACTTTTAAAAAGGAAATGTATTTAAGTAAGTTTTCAATTAAACAAAAGCTTACACATAGTTAAAAGAAATCAAATAATACTATTAAACTGGTAGTGAAAAAAAAAAGCAAAACTTGGCCTTTTTATGACCTACCCTTTATTTCCTTCTTCCAGAGACAACAGCTTGTAACCTGTTTCTTACTGCAGATATTTCTGAAAAACATGTTTGTATCACTTTTTCTGGATATACATATATGGGTATACACACACACACATACACACACACAGACTGAATCCAGTCCTGGTGGATGCTAGGGAAGCACTCACCTCCACCCCCATATTAATCTTGATTTGACTTTTCACAATTATGTCTCTCTCCTCTTCCATTTTCTCAAATGCTATATAATCATTTGCTAAACTAGTAGTCAATATCTATAAGTGAATTTACATGACTAATATTCAGTTGCAATATATTTTTTTATAACTTTTCATTTTTCCTTGGATTTATTAGTTTTGTTTTCTGAATTTTGAAAAGGCTGCAGACTAATAATTCACCCCAGCCTCTTTGAAAAATTCCTAGTCTACATTCAAATACACCAGGTACTCTTATCAATTTTTCTTTTTGAGGAGTCCTACCTGAACTCTCCATCTTCAGGATTTCCTGTTGACTTCATGCTGTTCTCGCCTCCCACCTTCCCACTTTAATAGTTATATTTCTAGTTTAGAAACCATGGCTACCTTGTCAGTAACAAAATATCTTCTTTTCCCTTCACAACAGACTGTGTCTCTCAACTCTTCACTGTATTAGAACACGTAACCATTCCAATTACGTTTTCCTCCCTCCTACAACATTCCCATTTGTATTTTTACATCAAGACTAATGACTTTCACATTCTATTCTGTAACCATAATTAAATATTTCCTTAGAAGGGGAAAAAAACCACACATAGAATTTGCATTATGATGGTAAAATATTATTCAATGAATAGCCAAGTTTTATGCTGTTTGGATTTCCTTTTTGCAAAGATCGTGATCCCAATGCTGCTCACAGGAAGTTAAAGCAGAATGCATTTTCTCACGCTTCTACCATTTGTTCAAAATCGTGCAGCATTTCACATTTAGTGTTTGGAGGATGTTTTTCCTGTACAGTTTTGCTTTGTCCTTCACGTGGGATGAAAAAACATATGCCTTCCATTTCATATCCTTAATACCATCGGCTTTTTCTTCAGCGTCTTGCTAACAATCCACACCGGTATTCCCTAAGTTTACTGATTTCTTAATTTTCACTCAGGCCATGACTTTGTTGCACACTCAATTTTTTTTTTTCCTGAAAAATTCGGTCTTCCTTTTTAATGATATATTCTGTGCCCTTCTGTTATATCCTGGAATTCGATCGGAGTTTAAGAATACAAAGTTTCTGATTTTTTCTTTTTTGGTTTCAGCCGAAGATCTCAATTCCCGGACTCCCCTAAGGCCTTTTTGGTCCTAGCAGGGGTCCCGCCACAGTCCAGGGAGCTCTGGGAGCGCTAGGAGCGCAGAGCGCAGGCGCGGAGTGCGTCCGGGCCCCCTCGCGAGATCTCCGAGCTCCTCGCTCGCAGGTTCACTAAGTCCCGGGGATGCCTGGGAGTCGGCCATCATGCTAGCCGCCCAAGGCCGGCAGCTTAGTCACTTTTCTAAATGTGTACCTGCAAGCGGATGTTGAGGATCACCGAGCCTGCGATGTAGAAATACGGGAAGTTCATCCGTAGCTGCCAGGCCAGCTCGAAGAAGGCGAGCAGGGTGCGAGAGAGCCCCTTGCAGAAGACCCCATAGGAGGTGGGGGCTGCTGCCGGGTTTGAGGCCTTGACAGCCAGGGACAACGGAGCCGCCACCGGAGTCATCGCTGGAGCCATGGACCCAATATCGCTGCCTGCCCAGCGCCTGGAACCGAGGTTCATCGTAGGCTCTGCCGGCCCCGGAGCAACGGCCAGGATCAAAGGGCCGGGATAGCAAAGCGGCCGCCGGGCTCACCCGCGCCTCCCGCAGCGGTCGCTAGCTCGGGTGCGGTGCTGGGCCGGCGGGCGCTCCGCCCCTTCCTGTCTGCCTCTCCTAGTGGTATTTACCATTTAGAGCATACCCAGTAGAAGATCGGCAACAGGATGTGTTATGTAACGAGTACGCACAGCCGCAGTCATTATTTCCACTTTAAAGTGAAGTTACATAATTTTCCCAAGAGCACGCAGTTTGTAAGGGCCAAAGATGGCTCAAATTAGGGTTTGTCTGCTGTGATCTGAGATTTTACCCTTTCGATTTTATAATTAGGGCAAGATGGATCTCCTTACCTAAACTAGTACAGGCATATCTCTACAAATAAATACTTTTATAATAAATACTTTTATAGTGTAAAGTCACACCTTGGACTATGAGTTTTCCTATGTATTAAGACTATTTAGGTTGCAAGCAACAGAAATCAGTTATTTTAAGAAAAAAGGTAATAATAGTAAGTAACATCTATGAATTTTTTTCTCAGAGCATATATATAAAACGTCATTTCCACTAATTTCTTCATGGAGATGCATTGTGAAACCTGGAGTGGAGTCAAGGCTTGGAATATTACAAACATCTACTTCCATGTCCTTAATATCCTTAGAGTAACATCGTAATGGATGTCCCATAGACAATGCTTTTCTTGTATCTAAATGATGTACAATTCATTATCTTCACTAATCATTTTCTAGTTTTAACTAGAAATCATTGCACTTTTCATCATGCATAACCTCTGCAGGGATTAAGCAAAGGTCTAATTTTGATCATAACCTTCAGATTACAATGTAGTTTCAAAAGTCATTTCTCCGTTCAGCAAATCTATAGTAAGCTATTCAAAGCATAATTACTGTAAGCTGGAGTATTTCTGCTTCTATTGTCCTGCTAATAGGACTGATACCAGTAACATGCCTTTGTGAAATTCGTACAATTTAATTGTGTGTCCACAGCCACAATTTCTTCTTTTGCTAGTTTGTACCAATAGAACCCAAACATTTAACAGCAAATAAATGAACTGCTTATGACAGCCTCTAAAATACTGGTAGGTGGACACAATACCTTTATTTTTATGTGATGCTGAGGATTGAACCCAGGGCCTCATGTGTGCCAGGCAAGCACCCTATCACTCAGTCCCAGCCCCAGCCCCAGTGTAAAATGAATGACAATCAACTCTGATAACTGGGAAAATATGTATAGTTTTACTACAAAGGTGCAGTTCTCTTTGAAAATTGAAATATCATAGAGCCATTTAGCATTCAGGATTACAGAAGTCATTTTGTCCCTGGCTTTCTATTTCCAGCTATGTAAAAATTATGTGTTCTCATTCTTTGTGCTCACAGACCTCACAGCTCAGCTCTGGTTAACTATGAGAATACTGTTTTCCATCCTTACTGCATGGAAAATATAGCAGCAACCCACTGATTAAATGGCCAGGTTGAATGCCTAGTCCAATGGGGAGGGATAGGCAAAGAAGACCAATTTAAAGCTCCAAATCCTACCCCTTAATGCTCTAAAGCTGATGAAGGATTTCTATTAAGTATCCTCCTGACAGTATATATATATATTTTTTTTTCTTTTTGGTACTGAGGATGGAACCCTGAGGTGCTTAACCACTGAGCTACATCCCCAGTCCTTTAACAAATTTTATTATTTATTTTTATTTTGAGACAGGGTCTCTATATAAGTTGCTTGCCTAGAACTTGTAATTCTCCTGCCTCAGCCTCCTGAGTTACTGAGATTATAGTTGTGCACCACTATACCCATCTCAGGACCAATATTTTAGATGGTGTGTGTGTGTGTGTGTGTGTGTGTGTGTTTAAGTATTTATTTGTAGGTGGACACAATACCTTTATTTTTAAGTGATGCTGAGGATTGAACCCAGGGCCTCATGTATGCCAGGCAAGCACCCTTCCACTCAGTCCCAGCCCTAGCCCCAGCCCTAGATGGTTGTGTTTTTTAATTCTGTTCCTTGAATTTTAAACTTGAAGACTAATCTATGCTTTTTGCCAATAGATACATAATCAAGCTATCAACAATAATGCATGTCTTAAACCATATAACTGAATGATACTTCACTTGGCCTTTTCTAGTTTTATTCCCTTATTTTTTAACTCTGCACCCCAGCTTTAATATTTTTTAATGGCTTATTTAGCTTGATTATCCTTTGGAAAATTTTTAATATAAGCTGCAGTGAGTCTGCAAAGTAACATATTCACAGATTCTCATTTTTAAAAAGGATTTGCCATATAAGTGCTCTGTTTTATAAGGAATGCATTCAGAATGCAAGGATTGGATCCAAATGATCCAAGCCTAAAGGCAAGAGAAAAACTATTTTCATGCTAACAAATGAAGTTCCAATTCACTCTTTGGACATGGACACTTTGAGGTTTAGTTGAGACTGTTACATTGGTTTAGTAAAATTCTCAGAGGAAAATCATATCAGGTGGGTAACGATAATTATGTTTCATAGCACACTGGTCAGTTTCTAGATCATGAGTAAAATTAAGCACAGATGTATCATACTAAAGTAGACTATCACTTAAAACATCAGAGATTAAGATTTTCTCTTTGTATGCTAGTTGTAAGGAAGGATATTTTGCTAATGATGGTATTAAGAGAAATCATGATGGGTATGTTTGGAAATGGCTTGATGATACCGGTTGACTGCCTTGACTATTTCAGGCATAAAGATCTCTTTTTAGGCTTTTCATAAGTTTAGTCATCTCCAGAATTTGTCAGCTGTGTTTAATAGTATGTAAATTTGTATACTTGTGTTCACACCACACCATTAACTTTGCTCATAACATCCTTATAATGTTTTCTTTGGACACTGATCAATCATTCAACCTTCTGGTTGCTCTCTGCCTAATAATTGTTTTTGAGTTCAATATGGCTAATTTTCTCAACCATTTTCCTCTGGATGAAGTGTAGAATTAATCATATGATCATTATGATTTTAATGGAGTCTTTGGTTTATTACCATTCATATTGGGAAATAAATTCAGTGTTTTATGGAGACTGGTCATTTGTAAGATGTGAAAAGAGAGACATATGAAATCATAAAAGCTATAGTTTCTCTTATGTTTCCTTTTATTTTTAAATATTTATTGCAAACCTGATTTACTTTATTGTAAAAATCCAGCTGAGTGTGATGCCTTTGGAGATAGTAGCTATCTTTTACCTTTCTGTTCACTTCATTGATTCTGATTCTAGGGAAGAGCATGTTGAGACATGCCTCATTGATAATGCTGTGGAAAATTAAACTCTACCATAAATATCATGGCTCCACAAAAACCCTGTAAATACCTGCCCCATTTTTTTTTTGTTCTAGGAAAAGAGAAAGTAGAAGTCCTTATAAGAACAGCCACTCTTTTTTTTTTTTTGCAATTGCTTTATTTATATTAATATTTATTTTTTTGAAATGGTCCTTTTCTGTTGTATAGGCAAGCCATGAACTCCTGGGTTCAAGTGATCCTTGTGCCTTAGTCTCCCAAGTAGCTGAGACTATAGGTATTCACCCAGACTCCTGGTTTGTTATGTCTTTAATATGTTGTATAGTTTTGAATCATTGTAATTCTCACTAGAATATGCTCATAACTAAACATATAGTCATTTCCAGGAAGACTTTCCTCTCTCTTCACCCCCTGCCTCATCTCTCTTTTCAATATCAAAATTGGAACATACTTAGTAATTCTCAAATTATTAAGATGTATTCTGTTTTAGTTACAACAGCTGGAGATGCTTTCCATAAAATCACATTGGAGATGCTTTCCATAAAATCACTTATCTCTGAATCTTTTAATGAAAAAAATTTAAAAAGTAGCAAGTTTGCAAAATTTCATGTTGAAGTATATGATATATATATATATATATATATATATATATATATATATATATATATGTATGTATTAATACATGTTTTTTGAGAATCCTGCTTTCTTCTGGGGAATAGAAAACCATGAGGAAATGTTTTTTTCTACTATTACAAGGAAAATAAACTGGCTACAAAGTCATAATTTATTTTGGTTGTTAGAGTTGAGATTGCAAGGTAAGCAGATAAATTGAATTCTGAAAGAAGACTAGCCCTTCCAAGTAAACTATGTGAACTGTTTTATCTTCAAAAAGAAGAGATTCTTGCCATAAACATAGGCTGAAGTTTTAACAGTTCTTATGGTGGTTGAGCGTAGGTTAGTGGGACAGTTTTGAATCCTTGGAAACTTCAGATATTTGTAAATACCAGCTCTTTTCTCTGGGCTTCTACCAGGTTTCCTAAACATTGGGAATAGGGCAGGATAACCAAGAAAGCCCCTTTGTAGTACATAATAAAGATGTTCATGTCCTAATTCCTGGGACCTGTTAATATGTTGATTTATATGGCATAGGAACATTGCAGATGTGATCAAGGGCATGCACCTTGGGATGGGAGATGTCCTGGATTATGTAGGTGGATCCAATCTAATCACATGAGACCTTAAATGTAGACTGTCTTAGTTAAATGTGTGTGTGTGTGTGAGAGAGAGAGAGAGAGAGAGAGAGAGAGAGAGAGAGAGAGAAAAGAGATTTCTGATTTTGAGGATGGACAAAGGGAGCCAAAAGCCACAGGCTGGAAGTGATTTCTAGGAGCTGGGAATGGAAAGGGAATGGATTCTCTCCTTGAGTTTCCAGAAATCAATAAAGCCCTGTCAACCACTTGATTTTAAACCCTTTTTTCAGACTGTGAAATCCTCTGTGAAACCTTTGTCAGATTTCCAATTATAGTACTGTAAGATAATTAGTTTGTGGTATTTGTTATTAAACTTCTGGAGAATCTTTCTAGCAGCAACAGAAATATAGAACACAGGGAAGCAAGGTCTACTTAATCTGTACTTTGAATCCTGCATGAGTAAAAGGTGGTTATTGGCTACCACCTGGGGATAAGCAAGAAAATTGCTCGTGTCCTGAAATCCTGAATTATTAAGCAAAATTTGCCTGTGCTGGTGAGGGACAGAGAATCTGTTGCAATTTGGACCCTACTGTAATATCATGCAGAAACTGTTTGGCACCACAGTAGGAATAGGAAATTTCTACTCCTGGATCTGCA